GGGTGTATAATGTGTTCGCCGTTGTTCAGACCTTTTTCTAGGATGCAAGCATTCTACTTCCACGCGAAATCAAAGTGGCTTAGTGGCCCCAATTCTGATACCAATTCGTCGTTCCCGGAAGAGAGGAGGTTTGATTGACATAAGTAGGAGCCGATTAGGAGTTGCCTCTGGATCGTGCACGGGGTGAGCGTCACTACACCTCTTCCATTACGGATATATGGGATTTCCTTCTATGCCATCCAGGCCTACCATCTTTCTTGGGTCATCAGTCTGGTACCGGCATCGTCCAGTTCTGATGAAGCGCACATAAATAGGTCGACCTCACCATCTCAAGCCATGGCATCAGGCTACTAGTTGAGAATCGATCTACGGTACTGCGACGGCTCCACCGGTTGTACCACATACGCCCACTGAACCATCAAACGTGAGCGTTGTGAGAGAAAAACATTGGAAAGCAGGTCTAAGTTTTGTCTGACCGTCTCAAATTGTCATCGAAAAGGGCAGTGCCTTGTTTATGCGGTGGTGATAAGATAATGAACAAGTGTCACAGTCAACATTTTTATCCTACTCCCACTCGTCGGTTCCTCATATATTCTGAATCAGAAACAGTGAAGTATCGAGCGATAAGGGCTTCCACTTGCCGTATTCAACTATCCAGCTTTGTTTTTACTGTTATCTGAACTGTGTGTCAAATAATTAGCTCCGTTCAGATGAAGTACATTATTTTGATAGCTCTCTTTGGCTACTGTCTAGCCTCACGTCAGCAGTCGGTAGCTGTCACTGGGAAGTTGTTATGCGGGAGTAAAGCAGCATCTGGTGTCAAAGTGAAGCTCTGGGAAGAAGATGACGGTGAGTGACCGGAATGTGATTATATGAAGCTCTTCAGAATGCTGAATTTGAGCGTCACAGTGTGACAGTTGGGTCGAATCCAGTATGCCTTTGTAGAGTCCTCTAAATGTAAGAAGAAACGGTGCGCGATTTTTTCTGAAAATGCAAAAAAATTGTGCGAGAGGGTAGTGTAGTTCGCAATGCACAAACTTGCCCAAAATGTTCAACGTCGTAAACTAAAAGAGTCAAAATTGCTTCAGCTACACTTCCCCTTTCCAGTAGCTCAGCCTCCAAACTCCGCCTGCGAAGTCCGCCTTCCGGCCAAAAGCAATGCTACTGGACAAGTAGCATGAAATGGAATGCTCATTGTCTCTTGTGGTGTCATAGGGTTTATTACAAGGAATCAGCAGACTGGACTCGTCACAACCGGCTGTCTTTTGGCTTTTACCCGTAGGATCTTTGGGGGGCGTACGGGTACTACAGAGGCCGTTTCTGGCATTCCCTTTGGCATTTTCTCTTCACAGGCGACTCGCTTGGCAACTTGTCTTCCATATTGCCAGCACTGCTACCCCCAGGCTCTTCGCGGCACCTGCTTTTACCGAAGCGGTACGCGAAATCCACCTATGAAAATGCAAAAGGCAGTGCGGGAAGGGTAGTGTTGTCCGCAATGGACAACTTTTTTCCGTTGACTAGCGCTTCTGTTTTTCGACAGCTACCTCACATACCAACTTGTAATACTGAAATGTGGCTTCAAAGATAGTAGTAATTAATTTGCAAATTTTATTAACTTGCACAAAGTTGCCAAGTGTGTGAGTGAGCCATTGATAGCAAATGATTCTGCTGGAGGCTTCAAATTCCAAGGAAATCTTCTTCTGCATACTTGAATATTCTTCAGGACCGGACCCCGACGATCTCCTTGATGAAGACAAAACAGCCAACGACGGCACCTTTACGCTAAGGGTGAGGTGCTCCTTCATAGTTCGGGTCCCAGTGTAGTAACTAGTGATGGTTACCGTGATGATAGTCCAATCAGGACTCCTTTTTGTAGGGATCGGAAAGTGAGCTCTTGACTATTGATCCTGTATTCAAGATATATCATGATTGCGATGACGGGATTAAGGTAGGAAGAATTGCACTGAGCAAGAAATTCGTGTATCATTTGTTCCGTTTTGAGCGACTGATTGTTTTTCAGCCAGGCAAACGCAAGGTGAAACTGCGCATTCCCACCTCATACATTAGCACTGGACCAGTTGCTAAACGGACGTTCGACGTTGGAGTGCTCAATCTGGAAACCATTTTCCCAGGAGAAGAACGCGACTTAATGTGATCCTCTTATCACTCCATAATGTCACGCTCCTATAATGTCACGCTTTAATAAAACCATCTGGCAGTAGTCTTTGCTAATGTTTATACTCATCATAAGTCCACATAAATCAAAGGTCAAAGTAGTCGCCGTTGATTAAGTCCTATGAGAATGATGATGCTTCACTAGCGTTCGACCCACTACATCGATCGAACGCATTGCGAGTTTTCCTAAATATTCGACGCTGCGTACGCACGAGGACATCGTATTCCTCAATTTTAATTTAACTTTGAATCTTTCTATTTTTTCCTCTGCGCCCATATGTTTTTTCACCAGAATTAAATTTCTACTTTACACACAATTTGTTGGAGGTTGCCTTCTGTCACCCAGGGATCGTATACGATTTGTTGGGAGCGGCCTTGTGTATTCAGGGATCAGCCAGCAGAAGCACAATCATCAATAACATCCTAAGTAACGACCCTCGGCAGACTCATTGTACGAGTTCCCTGGACCTGCTCGCTTCATGACAGCAAAGTGATATCCTCTGGATCGCTAATCGTTCCTTCCCGTCTTCGTGAGCTACATACATCCCACAGCAAGAAAAATCTGAAAAAACAGGATGTAGAAACGGAACTCGTGACAGAAACAGGTTTTTTAAATGCATTGGAGCGCGAAGATCAATCGTCGGCGACTACAAATCGTACGCTAGCACCTAGCAACGCGATCGGGTATGTGACGTTTGTGCAGTGCACTTTTTTCGCAGCCTCTCTCCTCTCATAATGGCAGAGTCGCCTGCGGTATGACCCCACTTAATTGCTGGCTGGCTGCCTTCTGACCTCTTATCGATTACGCTGTTCAACCTCCCTATCATGCTATAACACTACTCGAAAAATATGAATACGGAAGTGTGAAGACTGCCAATGAGCATTAAGTATCAAAATCGAATGAATTAAAAAGTTAAAAAAACATTGTGGAGAATATTTCCCCAACTCGGATAGGAAAGTTTCTATTTGCGTTTATAGACGATATATATAAAGAGATTACCGCCTTCAAGCGGGTCAATTCGTTGAATGTGACCGTCAGAGCTTTTAATTATCCTAGATGTCTTCCTTATCCTAACACCTGATAAAAAGGTCATCGTTAAAAAGGATTCAAGGGCGCTTCTTGACAACAAGCAGCAGTACTGCTTTATGCACTCACTTGAGCACATCATGAATCACTAATTCCTCTGCGACGATCTTCAGCAGCTCTCATCATCCTTCTACACGTGTCCTCTCTCTCCCTCAGCTTTCCTCTAGCACTAGCCACCAAGAACATGCACCTACATATTGGATGAACTCCGCGGTTCTTCAAGGCCCCCAGTCCACCATGTCTCCGCATGATCCGTATACATAGGCGGCTTTGACCCAACTTCTCCCCCAATAATTCACCCAACCATCGTACTATTTCACCACTTCACAGATTTCTACAGGTTATAATTCAGCTGAACCCACATTCCCTGATGATCTGCATTCGGCTTCACAAGACATTGGTTGCAGCTCAGAAGCCTCCTGTCCGCTTTCATCTACAATCACCGTCACCCGTGCAGCCAACATCCGCCTGCACCAATTTCCTTTGACTTGATGAATTCTATCTAACCGTTTCAGATTTATCTCAGACAGCGGCTCCTGCACTATCACAACAAAGAAAGACAGAGACATACATTGGTACATTGGACAGGCACTGGACATACTTTTTTAATTACATGTGAGATGCACAGACAGAATTTTCATTTCTGCTCCCCGGTTCGAAGAATGTTACCGAAACGGGGTGAGTGAAAGTCAGATAGAAGAATATTGTGTGAAGATGTCAAGATTTGTAACCAAACAACAATTTGAATTCTGCTCATGTATTATAATGAAAGCTGTTAATATTTCTCATATTTGTATTTGAAGAAATGTAACTATCTTTACCAAATAAAGTTACCTTGTTGGCTTAGACGGATAAAGATAAGTGATGGAAAAGGTCTCCAAAATTTTAAAACTCTTGTTTCACCGGTTTGAAACCCAATATTCACTTCACACTTCCCTATCCATATTCTTCGAGTTGTGTTATAACATGTTATAACTGAGAAAACAGTGTAATCGATGAGAGGTCAGGAGGCAGCGAGCAAGCAATTAAGTGAGGTCACACCGCAGGCGACTATGCCACCATGAGAGAAGAGGTGCGAAAAAAGTGCATTGCACAAACGTCCTACACCCACGGCGAATTCGTAGTCTCGAGCGATCGACGCAGTCGTACGCGGGCGAGATCGATTGAAATGAACTTCGTCACCTCATTCATGGCAACGCCTCTCTTATGTTGGACATGGAAAGTAAGGCTTGCGATTAATTCTGGCGAAAAAAGACATGACAGAGATTCTCACGGTCAAAGCAATGTGATAGGGCAAAAGCTGAGATAGTTAGACCTGGGATGATACAAAGAGCAAAAGCTCTCTCGAAACGTGCAGTTTTTTTGGGGTCTATGCTTTATCTGAACATTTCCAATATGACGGACTGCTCCAAAACTCAATGTTCTTTTCAACGCTGCAATGTATGACGTATAACGGGTGTTTAAGATAGTTCCACTCGCGATGGTGGAGCTCTGAATTCCTTACATACTAAAAGCAAACTAACTGGGTCAGCACTCTTCAAACGCTTCAACATGTATAGTCAAGAGCTGATGATTGATATGAAATCACTGCCACTAAACGCCATTAATAAGCAGTCCATTGAAGAACGTTCAATCATTTGCTATTCCGCAGATGAGTGTATCGTTTGATTTTCAAGGCAAACGAGTCCTCATCACAGGAGCTGCTCAAGGTAGTCAGCAGATACATTCGAAAAAGAAGGCATGTATACAGGAAAGAACATAGAGGGCCGCTTAAAAGAAATTACTGTTTCCCTTCAAACAATAATACAGTTTTATTGATATTCTATGCAAAATCGACGGAGGTGTTTGCAGAGCGAACTGGCAGTGTGTCCACGCCGCTGTCCGAGCTCAAAATGCGTCGTGCAGATGGCAACAACGAATCCTAATGCCTTTCGTTAGACTATATTTATTATATATATATGTTTAATTGGGAACCCACGAATGTATTTAATCTGCTGGCCCTTACGAGTCGTTGTACGAGTCATATTCTATCTAATAAGCCTCTGATACTTGAGTTCTGGAAAGAAAAAGACATACGAGTCATATTCTATCTAATAAGCCTCTGATGCTTGAGTTCTGGAAAGAAAAAGACAGTGTTCGAATCACTTTTCTGGGGATGCAAAAACATCCTTCTAAAAGAAGGGATTGGTTGTCTCATACGGCTGAGACGAGAATCTCATCTCCCGATACCTTGTAAAACGAAACTACCTAAATTGTTGTGATAATGTCAATTGTCAGAAAGAACGTGATTAATTGAAAGGAGTGCTACTCAATAGTAGCAGTGCACCCGCGATTTCCATGTACATAACTCGTTGCCATGCGACGCTTTCACTGTGGAGAAAGGAAGCTACATATAGTGCCCTCACCTCAGACCTCCAAACCCTTGAGTGTGCCTTCATTTTCCAAGTGATGCAGATCTTCTTTGCGATATAGGCTGAGCCAGTAGTATTAAGTTGTTCGGAAAGTTCTCAGCGTTTTGAGTGCTTCTTTTTAAACGACCATACATTTCTAATGCACACCGGAACTCATCGCAAATAAGCACGCAATTCGATATCAGCCCAACTTTTCCTGAAAGGTTGTCGATAAATTCCCAATCAAAGAGAAAAATAGGTCGAGAATCCTCTTATGCTGGTCCTGGTTGGTGTAGTATTTTCCACCGAGGAAGTTCTGAAAATCTTTGAAAAGGTGATATTCATTTAGTGAAAGATCTGGAGAATATGGCGGGTGAGGTAGAACTTCAACCCCAATTCGTTCAATTTATGGATAGTGATTTGTGAAACGTGTGGGCGGGCGTTGTCATGCAAAAGAATCGGACCCTTTCTGTTGACAAGTGCTGGCTGCAGCTGACGCACAGCCGATGACCACTACAACTGTGACCACATAATTTTTTCGTGAGATTTGGGTTTGGAAATTGCTCTTGTATTCGTCGGCATCCAACCACTGTCCGGAACGTCCCCTGTTATCATACATGATCCACTTTTCATCACAGGTGACAATTCGGTCCAAAAACGGGTCGTTTCTGTTGCGCAAAAGCAGTGAAGAAGACCTCGAGACGTGCCAATTTTTTCTGCCGGTCACTCAAATTGTGGGGCACCCACTTCGAGTTTTTTCACCTTCCCAATGCGTTTCAGACCATCCGCAACAGTGGATTTGCCAACGCCTAGCTTTTCTGCAATCTCTCGAACTGTTTGGGATGGGTCAGCCTCCACAAACGCCTTCAAATCCTCGTCAGGTATTGCTTTAGGTCGACCGCTACGAGGTTCATCTTCAAGGCTGAAATCTCCAGAACGAAATTTGTCGAACCATTGTCGCACGGTGCTTTCTCCAGCACTATTGGTCCCCTCCCTGGTTAACTCAAACTGGAGCTTGCTCTCGACTGCGATTAATCCAATTTGTGAGTTGAAGAAAATTCGCCCGAGGTTGTCCTTTCGACATGCTTTGGAAAAGTCTTGAAAGGAAGTTTAATTAAGCAGAAATGGTGAAACGGCAGTTATACATTCAGATGCGCAAAAATTCTCTTTAGGATATACTACTGAGTCGCAGGAGAATGAGTTTTAATCAGCAATGAATGTACAAAAAATAGTAACACAAAACGCTGAGAACTCTCTGGACAAAACCTAATAGTTGCTGTCCCAGAGGATGCAGCTCCCATCTTACCTCGATACGAACGAAAAGATCGCTTCCTTCGAAACAGAAGGAGTAAATTTGACGACGTCGCTGACGTCCAGTTTACTGTTCACTGAATTTGTGTGGCTTTTATTATCTGCTGAGCTTTTTTGGGACCTGAATTTTTTCTGAGATTTTCTGAAGTCCTCCCCATGGCATAGCGTACACTATGAACCTTAGAAATCTTG